GTAACCAATTTTCTTGTTCCTGGGAAGGAATGAAACAGCATAGAAATAGCACCAATTGCGTGTGGGGAATGTGTTTGTAAAGCACATGACACAAGTCTCGGTTGAGAAATGAAGACAATGGCTATCTTTGAGATTTAGCTGTACACCGCGTTGACTAGCACCCCGGTGCCCGCTGCTTCGTGGGCCAAGGGTTTCTGAAACTCCAACAAATTAGTTACCCTCTGGTACTTTAACATAGCTATGGAAATCATTTTAATAGGTAAATATTTGAGGCATGCCTTTCATAGCAAATTGTCAGTTTACCAAAGGGGGTCCTTAGTCTATACCCCCTGTGGTTCCATTATTCGTTCCGTTTTTCATGCTTAAATCCCGCATTTACCCTCCAATAGTCAAACATGGCAATGACAAAAATTGTGCGTTTATTTCAAGGACTTTCCCAGCGAACGACACCTTCATTTATACTGGATGTCCCATTTTTTTCCTATGGTTTTCCTATGGTTTTCCCAGCAACCCTCTGTGGTTGCCACTGGCCTCCCACATCATACTTCTTGGTCAAGATGTATCGCAGGATGAAGACTGTCAGGCCACCTAGCACAGGTTTCACACGGAAACATATGGAGATCCTGGAAGATTTTCATGGGAGATACCGGAAAATATTGTCAAACCCAAACCCAATCCCCGAGATGGAAAAGAATGGAGCAAATCCCTAAACCATTCGGGATGTGATTAATGGGATGTAAGTAAGATCGCGTGATATTTAAGGATATGTATATATATATATATAATCAGCAATTGGAAACATAGTGGAAACTAGTTATTACGGTTTGTGAAAATGGTGATTATCATTTCATGAACTATGATATATGTTCATCCCCGCAAAGCAAACATATACAGAGGGCAGTATTTATAACCAACCAACCTGGCAATGGAAATGGAAATTCCCCGACCCATATCCATAACAAGAAGGCTGCAACATGAAAGGCATACAATTTTGCGGGATGAAAAGTCCATCAGGATTTCTTGAAACAGCCCCGTGGGGCTCAAAATTTGGATGCTAGAGTTTATCGTTAAAAAGTGATCCAAGTGAATAAAGATAACCACATATCTTGTTTTGGTATCAGCATGGTGCATGGTGCACATAACTCAGGACTTGGTCGAATCCTCTAAATGCACCAAAATCCCTTGATTTAGAAAATTGTCTTGAACTACTATAAAACAGTGATGTTGTGTGTATAACAAACCCCAAAAAGACAGAACAGGTTCAAACTCAACGAATTTCAAAATAATTGCGGTAAAGAACAATTGAATGTTTTTCTGCATCTTTTTGGTGAAGTACTACAATTTCGATACAATGGGATAGCGGTGTTTTTTTTAATTACCAACTGTATGATACTGTATGATTTTTTTTGACCACTAAGCATGGAGGCTAAATCCCCAATAGGCTGTGTTCAAAACACACTGTTGTCCTTTGAAAAAAAGGTTGGTTTTAATTGGATTTCCCGGCTCATGGATTGTATTGCATAATCCCCAATACACAAGATAGTACAATACCCTTTTCAATCAACAACCAGCCACCATCAACCAGCATTTATCAATTATATATCATGTCATTCATATTTTCTGTTTGGTGTTGATGGTCCTCGTCAAATGCACATTTTGTTTCATACGTTTGGTGCTAATATATATATATACATTTATTATATTATATTAAATTATAAAATGATAAAATATTAAATGTTGTATTATTCTATATTACATTAAAAAATTACAAATTATATATTATATATTGAAAATTAAATATTATATATTATATATTATATAATATATATTATATATTATAAATTAAATATAATATATTCTATATTATATATTAAATATAATATATTATATATTATATATTAAATATAATATATTATATATTATATACTGTATATTATATATTATATATTACAAATAATATTGTATGATATCATAATAATTAAAATAGAAAATATTATGCTATAATATGTTATGATATATTTTATTGTAAATCAAATAGACTATACATTCAATGATATATATAATATCACAAATAAAAATAAATATACATATAATATATAATAGATAAGATAAAGATATAATCTATCATATGTAAAATAAATATATATATAAGATATTTGATATATAATATAAAATATATTACATATAATATTTGATAGGCATGTATTATAATTGATATGTTATATATCAATGTATTTAAATACATATATTACATCTAACAAGTTTCTATCATATGTAAAATATTTTTACGATTACAAAGTATAATATACCGTATATAGTATATAATGTAAACTAAATAGTATATAAAATATAGTATGTCGTATAGAAATGCAATGTATGTTTTATGATAGTTAACATTTAAAATATAAAATATCATATATCATTAAAACATATACCATGTAAAATGATGTCAAAAAAAGTATATTCTACGATCATTACTAAAAAATAAATCGGTACAGTGTAAAAAAAAAACAAAATATAACGTACTCAACAAAATCTATAATGTTATATCCAAAAATATGATGATGTAGAAAATCAAAAAAATGCATACATAGAAATGAATATCAGTTTAAATATATATAAATAAATATATATATATATATGCTGTAATGTGTATATATATAATATGAACATAATTAATTATTTAAATAGTAAACGTAAATATCATAAGAAATCATACTATATTATATTAAATGAAAATATTATATATGTATATATACATATATATATATTAAAATTAAATATAATATTATATTCTATTCTTGCATATTAAATTAAATCAAATCATATTATATTATATGAAATAATTATAGTAAAATAAATTTTGGAATAATATATTATTTTATATTATGTGATTTTAGTTTAGTTTTTTGTAAAAAAAATCTTATATAAATATATATATTACGTTGAATTATATTATATTAAAATTGTTTTTTAAGAAATTAAAATATTACATATTCTTATATTATTTAATATATTATATTATTTTTTGAAACATTATATGATACTATAGTATATTGTTTTCAACTACATTATATTTTATTATATTATATCAAATTATTCTATATATAAAATGAAAAATTCTATATTACATCAAGTTATGGTCTATTATAGAATATCAAATGGCAGTTATTCTATTATACAACATCATATTTTATAACATGATTTTATATTAGATTATATTGTGTATTACTATACATTTTTTCTTATTATATATTTAGTTTTTTGAACAGTATATTATAGAAAATATATTATGAATATATTGTGTTATATTATCTTATTTCTATTCTAGGATATTACATATTACATATTTTATTGTATTGTATATTCAATACTATATATATATATATCATATACTTGACACTAAATATTCAATATTGTATAATATATCTAAAGAATGTTGATTTCAAAAAATATGCAGTTACAAATATCATATATCAAATTGTATTACATTACACTATGTTATTATATTATATTATATTACGTTATACTGTATTGTATCGTAATATATTACATATGAAATCATATATTATATATTGTTAATTGGATTATATTTTATCATATCATATCAAATCACATCATATCATATTATATATGATATTATATACATATATATATATATTATATTCATCATTTGGCAGGCACTGCTCCCAAATATTTCGCACTCACCTGCTGCGGCTGCCAAAGTGGTGTTCATGGCCACCTGGGCCGCCAGCGCGCCATCGGTGCCGGACTTCATGGTCAGCGTGCTGCCGGGGTTGAAGCCATACCAGCCAAACCACAGAGCGAAGGTGCCGAACCTGGTGTCTGGTGCAGGTTATTCGGGATTTTCCTAGGCCCTAGGCTGTGAAAAACTGGGGGTACCATTGAAGTATCTGATCTTTCTAGGGATAATTTTTTTTGGGAAACTTTCGGAAGCCTCTTCGAAGGAAAAAAACATCAGGAACCCAGGGAAAGATGTGAATGTTTGGGCAACACAAAATCGGGTCGAAACAAAAAATGTGGAAAACCTTCAACTTTCATCAAAACAGAAATGTCAGAAAATTCAAGGGCGATGCGCCCCAAAGGACCTGCTCTTAAGTACTCTGCCACAGTCTGCACTGGGATTTAATGGGCGTGCGTATCCTCAATTTTGCTACAACCAAACCCTTTTCTCAAAATCAAAAAAATGTTGGACTATGTTGGACTATCAAATATCTACCTCGTGTTCATCTTTTTGTCGCCTAAACTTCGCTAACTCATACCCTCCGCAGGGCTTCCGGCAGAAGGGACACTAGTTGGATCTGGCCCAGCGAAGCATAGCTCCATTCCCATCCATTTCATTCGAACGTAAGGGTTGTATATTATATATATAATATTTATATATATATGTATATGGCCATATACATATCATGCACGTATACATATCATACACTGTACCAGTAGTACCGCACAAGGCGGTGGCGGAAGTTTCAAAGATAGGAAACCTATCGGAGAGGTTGGTTGTTGTGACTGACGGATGGCAGAGCGAATGCACTGATGGACCAAAAGGTGGTTGGACCTGTGTTTTTTGGAGTGACCGCAATGGTTGCAGTGGTCACCTCACCACAACTGCTGGATGTAGTGTGGTGTAAGTGTGGTGTAGTGCAGTTGTAGTTGTAGTGTAGTGTAGTCGATTTGTAGTTGTACTGTAGTGTAATTAGTGGATTGTTATTGCGTTGTAGATGTGGTGTGGTCCAATTAGTGTAGTGTAGTGTACTGTAGTGTGGTATAGTGTAGTGCAGTCTAGCGTAGTGAAGTGTAAAGTAGTGCAGTTGTAGGTGTAGCTTTGTGTAGTGTAATTAGTGTAGTGTAGTGTAGTGTAGTGTATTGTAGTGTAGTGGTAGTTGCAGTTGCTGTTGCAGTTGTAGAGTAATGTAATGTAATTAGTGTAGTGTAGTGTTGTGTAATGTAGTGTAGTTGTAGTTGCATTCGTATTTGCAGTTGTAGCACACTGCGGTGTATTTAGTGTAGTGTAGTGTAATGTAGCGCAGTTGTAATTGTAATTGTATTTGCAAAAGCTGTGGTAGTCGTAGCTGTTGTAGTTGTAGAGTAATTAGTGTAGAGTAGGGTAGTGTAGTGTAGTTACAGGTAGCCAGATGTAATTAGTGTAATGTAGTGTACTTAGTGTAGTGTAATGCAGCGTGGTATATTTGTAGTTGTAGTTGTAATTGTCTATCTATCTATCGATCGATCTATCTATCAATCTATCGAGCTATCTATCCATCCATCTATACATCTACCTATCTATCAATGTATCTATCTATCTATGTATTTATCTATCTATCTATTTGTCCATCTATCTAACTATCCATCTCTCTACCTATCTCTCTATCATCTCTGTCTATCTGTCTATCTGTCTATCTGTCTATCTATCTATCTATCTATCTATCTGTCTGTCTCCCTATCTACCTATCTACCTATCTACCTATCTATCTATCTACCCATCTATCTACCTACCTACCTACCTATCTATCTATCTATCTATCTATCTTCTATCTATCTATCTTCCTACCTGACTATCTATCTATCTATCTATCTATCTATCTATCTGTCTATCTGTCTATCTGTCTATCTGTCTATCCGTCTATCTATCTAGTCTATCTGCAAGCTTGAAAACGGAGCTATTCTGGGAGACATCCTCAGCTTTTGAGCTTGACAACATCAAAAACGCAGCAATTCTGCGAGACATCCTCAATTTTTGAACTTGACAACTTCAAAAACGAAACAATTCTGCGAGACCTTGACGACCTCAAAAACGAAGCAATTCTGCGAGACTTTCTTCAAAAATGGAAAGTTGAGTGCAGCGCTGACGGCCTCGTACCATTGCGTCTTGTGTTTTTTCCATTCCATCTGTCTAAAGTACTGCACCTGCCAGGAAAAAGTGAGGCCAGGAATCATACGAAGTGATGCACCCGTCACACAAAATCATCTTAGCAAACCTGAAGATCTGATGCTCCAAGATGCAACAACTCTCAGGAAATCAGCGCCCTGACCTCCTAACATCTCTGATGAACATGTTTCTTGTATTGCGCCTGAAACGCGACTTGCATCTTCGCAGGCCCTCTTCAAATGTCCCACGCCTGCCATCGTTTTTGAAACTGCTGCAAAACCTTCACGTTTTGCTCACTTTTGACACGGCGTGCATCCCTTGCGCCTGCCATGCGAAACGACATCTGAACGTCCAAAAATGGTCCGAACATGTGGTGTTTTGTACATGTTGACTTGGAAAAATGCTTCCCGCCACAGCAGCGGGCACTTTTCCGACATCTCAACTTCCAAAAGTGCTCCGAGAACGGTGTGCTTTGAAATATGCTTCACGCCACAACAATCTGCACTTTTTCGACAGCTCAATTCCCAAAAGTGCTCCGAAGCTGACGTGTTCTGTACATTTTGACTTCGAAATGTGCTTCGCACCACAACAGCGTGCAATTTTTCATCGCTCATCCGGCCAGGTGGCTCCGCACCCGCCGCTTTAGCGAGCCTACTTTTCGACCCTCCTGAGCCACAAATCATTGGAAAAACACAGTGATTCGCGACTTTTCGACCTCTTAGCGCACCTGCATCTTCTTTCTTCTGAGTCTTTCTCTTCTCTGATCTTCTTTCTTCTTCTCTTCTCTTCTCTTCTCTGACTCTTCCCACCTCTGCTTTTCATGTCTCCATATTGTCGGATGTTTGACTTTTAAACTTCCTTCGATAATATATATATATGTACATGTGTATATATAATTAAATATAATATTATATAATACATATAATATCTTGCATGAACCATCCATGCAAACAAAATATATATGTTGTTTCAACCATCCACGAACCTGGAAAAATTAGAATCATTCACCCAAAAGTTTGGCCATTTGGGGAGAGTTCCCCAATCCAATTCCGACCAGTGACGTTCTCATGTGAGGTCGTGATCAAATTTGTCCAGGATCTCAACCAATAGGTAAACTAACATAGCTATGGAAAACCACCATTTTAATGGGTAAATCAATTATTTCAATGGCCATTTTCCATAGCAAACTGTTAGTCATTACCAGAGGGTATAGTGGGAATAAACAAAAAACTCCCAAAGATCCCCACTACATCCCCATTTCTGTTGGTTGAGTCCCCATTGTTAGTCAAGTCCCATGTTTCTCGTTTAAATCACTTTTTTTTCATAATTCATTGGTGAAATCCCTGTTTGTCATTGTCAAATCCCACATAAATACGATTCTTCTTGCTTAAAATATCTTGAAATCACATTTGTTCTGTCATTAAGTCCAATTTTTCTTGCTGAACTCATGTGATATCCACCATATGTTCACCAGTTTTCTCCACCCAACAACCCTTTCAGGAAAATTGAAACCCAAACCCCATCTTTCATGGGAAAATTCATGGAAAATCCGGTGTAGATGTTCCCATAGAACCAATGCATTGCTCAGTATGGTTGTTTTTTCTCATAAACCCATTAGATCCCCATATAATTGCCATATAATACCAAAAATATACCATTGTATTCCCATGATTGTTGGTGTACACCTCCATTTTCCCATTAATCGATTATTTATTGGTCAAATCCCAATTAACTAGTCAATGTTAGATCCCCAATTTTCCTGGTTAAATCTGTGCCATGAACTCCTCCATTAATTATATACTTAAAACTTGATAAAAACCCCTAAAACTTCATGGTTGATGATGGTATTTATCCCATGAAATCTGCCATATTCCTTCCAATCCCCATGATCACCATAGAATCACCATAGAATTATGCCATCTCATCGAAAGTCGGAAATTTTCGTTGAATTCGCCATCCCATCCCCATCAACCCATCCAAGGGACACCACCAGCGGCAGGTTATGCGCCTCGAAGTCCTCCGGATATTCGAAGCGGCCTTTGCGCGGGCCCAAAACAATGGTGCCCGCCAGGCCCGCGATGCCGCCTGTGAGATGGACGACGCCTCGGTGTGAACAGTGGAGCCATGAAAAAAACGGTGGGAAAACCCATGGAAAATGATGAAACATGTAGGGAAAAGATGAAGATGTTGAAGATTTAGATGTTTGAAAAATTGCCAACATCGGAAAATATACGTGTCTCATCGTGTCTCGCTGTTTTGATGTCCAAGCTATGCTTTTGTTCCGCTCATATGCCTTTCAATGTCGGATTTGGGTGCGGAATTGAAGAAATGAGGGAGTGTGTAACAGGAATGAGTTTGTTGAAACGACAAAATTGTTGCATCACATGAAAAATGGCCCTTTGAAATGGCACAAATGTTAGGTACACCGGAAGGATGTGTTTCAGCAACAAGAAAATGCGTTTTAACCAACAAATATTACGAATACAGTCATGAGGATAAAAGTGCCGGCTTGAACCAACAATGGGTTTAGGTCGATTTTGTTCGGACAAAACGTGGTGATTTACGGTGACTTAATGGGATTATGATTTAATGGAAACAACAATTAAGATAACTGGCTAAGTTGGGATTACAACTAGGTGAACTATGGTTTGTGCTGGATGCATCTTCGATCATGCGGTCTACAAGCCAACGTTCACATCACTGGGGGGCCCACCTTGCAAGATATGGGGATGGCGTCCTAATACTAAAAAAGCTCAGCCGAAAGAATCATGATAGAAATTGAGACTGTCTAAGACCTGCTGTATTTGCCTGAACATTTCAAGTTTAGACATGAAGCCCCTCAATTTCCATGTTCACTTGAAAGAAAGACATCATTTTCTCAAGCAAAAAAACATTGGACCGACCCTGGGCGATTGGGGTTCGGCCAGAATTTCCACATTTCATCCGAGGTGCCACTGCCTGCGAAGTCCATGTAGCCAGCTCCGGGGCCTCCCTCACTGGCCAACCATCCACCGCCCCATGTGGCGCTGACCACGACTGGGTAAATAAAGCTGGTCATCACCTAGGGTCCATTTTCTTGCGAGAAAAACATCGATGATCCCTAGATTTTGTTTGTATGAGATCATCTATTGGAGAATACAGTCGATAATATAAATATGATATGGAATAGTGTCAAACCATGATAGTTGGGATATGTCGGGTTTATACTATATATATATATATAATATTGATATGTATAATATGGTATAATATGTATAGTCTAATATCATATCATATATCGGGCAATCTATGAAATAACATCTATGAAACTATGATAATCAGTTGGGATCGGTCATGGATCATATATGGGATAGTAACGGATCATATGACATAATCTTACGTATAATGTGTGATGTGGATTGGCTACACATTTAGAACTACCCAGTTTGCTGCGGCGAAACAGTATCCGACCACCAGTTCACTTTTTTTTACTTTAGGGATTCTTCCGAGTATATGAAAAAAAGCGGTTCCTCCCATCTGCCTCACATTTTTTCCGAAGTCCAAAACTTCCAGTGTCTCCCCAATTTTTATCTGCCTCAAAGAACTAGTGGACATGTGGCCTTCAAACCCGACATGAGGCCTTTACCCATGACCAAAATTCCATCTATACGCTATGATACGCTGCAAAATTCGTTATTTTCAGTTGGCTTTAATATGTATCCATCTCCAAGAGTATGTAAAAAGAAACTTGATACCCCTTAGCAACATTCACGCCATAACCCAAATCACCATGTCCCCATCAAAAGGTCATAGACAGTACATAATTACGAGATATTACGGGGTATTTCGCTCTCCCAAAAAAAATCTGGACAAACCCAAATTTCATGCTGTCCGCTGCATAAGTGCACATATCCCATTCTATCCCAGTAAATATCCCTTCTTCAAAACGGGTTTCATACGTATTTTTGGTGACATCAATCCCAACAACTAACCCAAACCCATTTTTTGTTGGTGAAGTCCCATGTTTTTTAAATTATTATTTTTGGTTTTATACCTCTTTGGGTTAAAACCCCATTTCATCCTATGTTTGCTAGTTAGATCCCAAATTCTGATGGTTGAATCCATCCAAATTCTGACGGTTGTATCCTAACTTTTGATGGTCAGCTCCGCTTAAAACCCAGTTTGTTGGTTTTATCAGCTCTATCCATCTAAAACCCAACTTTTGATGGTTACTTCAATTTGTCTTAAATTAAATCCACAATTCCTGTTGGTGAGTTCCCCCATTTCACCCATGTCAATCCAGTCCTCGTCCAGCCCAGGCACAAAGGCAAAAGCCGCGTAGGTGGGACCTTTGACGCGTTCGGCCACAGCGCCGCTCACAATGGTGGCGCCCGCTGTGCAGAAGGCCCACTGGAAGAACCAACTCAACATAGTGCCTGGGGTCCCCCCTGGTGACTTTTGATGATCTTTGGGCACTTTGAAACAAATTGGATGGGAAATTTGCGCAGTTTAACAGAAAATTTGGATGCTCGGAAAACCATCGAAAGTGTGTTCTTGCATTTTTTATAGTGTTTCTATGTATTGATTTTGTGAGTGTGTTTTTTTTTGTCTGTGCGCCTGTTTTTTTTGTTTTTTTTAATGTATCTATTTTGCATTTAAGTACAAATTTCCAGTTCCCCAACTTCGTGTTCAACCCCAAAATTTGTCGTTCCTTTCAAGTATTCCCCCGATTGTTTCAACATGTTTCGACTAATTATCTCCTGCAAATCCAACCCATTTCAACACATGAATCCTCCATGATAGTTAATCACCATTACATCCCATCTAAATTAGCATGTGTCTTAATAAAATCATCATTTTTCCTGGGCACATCCTCATTTTTCCCAGTTATATCCCATATTGATCACCATCTTTCCCAGTGAAATCACATTTTTTGCCAAATCACCATCTTTCCTAGTTAAATCACCCGTTTTTCCCTGATTAAATCACACGATGTCCTCGCTAAATCACCATCTTAGTCATTCCCAGTTAAGCCACCAAACGTTACCAGTTAAATCACCCAACTTGTCCCTACTTAAATCACAATCTTCCCGCGTTGAATCACCAACGTTTCCCTAGTTGAATCCGCATCTTTCCCAGTTATATAAATCACCCAGTTTTTTCCTACTTAACCCATCAAGCTTCATAGTTAAAACCTCATTCTTCCCAGGCAAATCACTATGCTTCCTATTTAAGGTTGAATCATATTAATCCCCATGATATCCGATATAAATCCCATACCAATCGCAATTTTCCCAGTTATCCATATCAATCGCAATTCTCAGTGACTCAAGGTGGCATCCAAAGATTCACGTGCGAAGCAAAATTGATCCACTTTAGTTCACAGCCTGTACATTCATGGAGGCGATACGAAGGCCAGGGGGCTCCGATCCCCTCAGCGGCTTTGATAAACATAACAGTGCTTGTCCAAATGACTTGATCTGCCCAGCGTCTTACGCCCCAGGCTGGTGGCTAGCCTTTTTGGAGTCTCGGGAGGCATATATAGGCTTGTGCTAAATTACCACCTATACACTGTTTCCGGAGAGGTCTGACAGGTTACCCACAAGGTCGATGTCTTGCAACCACTGGTTCCCACTTGCGGGACCTGTGGCTAGAATCGGCACATGACGCATACAATGCATACAAGGTAGGATCGGCCTTCTCCGCGCCTGGCGCATCTGTCAACAATCCAAGAGCCAGGATCACTTCCAGTCAGGCATTCGTAGCGTTTTTCTTTAAACCATAAATAGAGAGTGTGCTTTCCTTCTCCAGATCTGATCTCAAGGCATTGCCCAAATCGAGTTCAAACATGCACAGCATGCCCATTTACTTTGTATGCCTCTGAGATTGCATGTAGTTCAAGGTGTCCACCCCAAGATCTAATCTTCGCAGCAGTTTGAAGCACTGCTCCCATAATCTGATTCGCATTTTCTTTAAAACCGTACCAGAAGATGGAATTCACATACTGTGGCTCGTAACTCCTAACTCCCTGCGAGTCAACTGCTTATTGAAAAGCTTGTTGTAATACCTTGCGAAACTGAGTAGAAAACACAGTTTCCTTCACCTTTGTTCGGGACAATCTTCATATATGTGCCAGAGGCGACACGGTCTTTTTGGATTTCTTGGTATCTCGCTTTTCTGGACTCGCAGTAGCTTTACTTTTCTGGCCTGCCGGTGTATCTTCAGTATTCTGCATATAGATCCATCGTTGGCAACACTTTCCTGCTGAGACTCGTCGATGAGAGTAGTGGCTGGGATTTCCCTTGCAGTGCTGACGTCTGCGGCTTCCAGTGACTTTGTTCTGTCGGACAAGCGAATTACACTTTTGTTGGGATATCGAAGAAAATTCCCTTCTTATGCACACTGGGGCGAACAGTGGAGACGTATGCCACAAGGTGAAAATCTTCAAATTTGACATCGAACAAGTCCTGAGAAGCGGGGGTTGTGGCCTTCAAGGTCCATTGTGTGGTGTATTGTTTCGCGATTTGCGTCGAGAAATACAGTCAATGTCTGTAAATTGAAATTCTTTTTCGAAGGTATTTTCGAAAGTCTGTTCACTCCAAAAGGAAGGGACGCCAGCGACCACGTACGCGGGTGGGCAATGCTCTGGTCTTTGACGGTTCGAATGCACAATTTGTTTTCGCCCTCTTGTGATTCCATATTGGGGGTTCTGAGCCCGGGCTCTTTGCAAGTATGCCTCTGGTTGTTCTTCCAGGGCCTTGGGTAGCCACTGAACAGCTGGCTGCATCTTTCCAATTCAAGGTTCACAGAACCAGCTGTTGCATCCACTGGCCTGGCTCAGTCAATGCAAGCTCTTTGTCTACACGAATTAAGTCAATAAGCACTTGGCTGGCAACTGTTCGCTCTGTAAAATTGAAAGTATCATGTAAATCATGAATAGTATGTAAATCATCAACTTCTCCCTAGATAAATCACCATCTTTCCTACTTAGAGTAGATCACCATCTTTCCCACCTAAATCACCCAACTTGTCCCTACTTAAATCACCATCTTTTCGCGTTGAATCGCCAACTTTCCCTAGTTAGATCACAATCTTGCCCACTTAAATCACCCAGCTTTTCTAGTTGAATCATCATCTTTTATAGTCAAATCCTCATGTTTCCCTGGCAAATCACCATGCTTCCTGATTAATGTTAAACCATAGTAATATTACGTCCCAATATATCCAATATAAATCCCATATCAATCACCAACTTTCCCAGTTAAATCACCATCGTTCGCACTTAAATCACCATCTTTCCTAGTTAAATCACAATATGTTCTAGTTAAATCCCATAGTTAAATCACCCAACTTTTCCCTAGTTAAATCACCATCTTTCCCCTATAGTTACATCACCCAACTTTTCCTTAGTTAAATCCTCATCTTTGGCACTTAAATCACCCAACTTCACCCAATTTCCGCAGTGAGAAAATGGGAAAAACCATCCAGGTTCCCAACTTTGGTACCTGCCCAAGGCCAAGGTGCTCTGACAGCCCGAGTCGTCGCACGAGGCAAGCGGCTGGATGTTTCCTTCACGGCGCTGGGAAAAATGGAGGAACTCAGTGGGGAAAATGCTGATTTCAAGAGGATTTATATGGGGATATAATGGGGAATAATATGATTTGACTGGGAAAAGATTGTGATTTCTATGGAAGTTCATGGGAATTAACTAACAAACATGGGGATTAACCATCACACATGGAGGACTAATCAGCTGAAATGGGGGTTCAAACAGCAATTCATCGGACCTGATTGGGTTCATAGAGGAAGTATATAATGTAATATCTGTGTATATATATATACACATATTTAACCATATTTATACATATATATATATGATTGTGAAGCAATGAACAATAGGAGAATGAAAGTATAAACCCACAATAACAGGATTTCATGGGGATACAATGGGTACAGTATTCCCCAATATTGTGATTAATATAATATATACTAATACATGCAGAATGGGACTATTTTCTGGGGACATTGACCAGCAACCATGGTGGTTTAATCATAGACAAACTTAGCCAATAAGGATTCAAGCAGTGAACAGTGAACATAATATGATTATGGACTTCCTATACAGTTGGTATATACTAGATTGAATGGAATCATGGAATTTTTTGTTGACTTTCTGCGAACATTTCACAGGATTTGACGATGAGTCGATGTTTATGGTGATATAATGGGATATAAAACCAATTACAACCGACAGTCTGATGCTTGGGTTTGAAATGAACATGGGACATACCCTCTAGTAGACATTTTAAGGGAAAATTGTGTATTGGTAGATAATACTGCGTTCATCCACTTTCCGTTGTAGTTTGAAATGGAATCGAAACTGGTGCATAAGCTATACGTATGTATCTTCGGGGGAATTGTCCATGGTGTCCATCGAAATAATGCCTGAGTTATAGTTATAGCTGCAGCATGCTGCAGCCATAGTTTTTCACCACACAGCAACTGGAATCAAGATCCAAAAGGGATGGAAAGGCAATGGAAACCCTTTGACTTCCTGACCCCAAGAAATTTCGGATTTCCATCTTTCGGTTCTCTTGATATCTAATGATATCAATGATCATAAATGTCCCAGTGGAATTGGGAGATGGATCCACTCTTACCATCGAAATTTTCTTGCTGGTTTCCATCCATTGGGTTTCCCAATAACAACTTCCGCCCATTCCCTGGTTACACAACATGAACTTGGGGGTGATCACTTATCTTATCATTTGATATCATTTGGAGGTAATGATGATTATCATTTAGGGGTCAGTATGAACTCTACCGACTATACCCTGGCTGGTGGGCTGGTGGATTGAAATGGATGTAGTTTCCCAAGAGGGATGGTCAGTATGAACTATACCCTGGCTGGTGGATTGAAATGAATGATCTAAGATCCACGGGGGTTCTGATGGGGCATCAGTCCTCGCCCTCGCCCTCAAACACAGGGGGATGGTCATAAATGTACCACAGGCTTGAAACAGCGAGTCCCCGAGTCCCCAACAAAGTGTCCAGAAATGTTGGTTCAGAACCTTGAACAAAAAATGCCATGGAAAAAGATGGAAATGGTTTCAAGAAACCATGAGAATATCATGGTTTTTGGCAAAAAAAAGTCCCTCTTGACTCTTAACATAGCCATAAAACCAGTTGTTTGCAACGGCCGGCCTGAGGCATCGCGGGTGTAGAAGTGCTGTCCGACAAAGCCATCGGTACCTGGGAGCCATGAGCTAGTCTTCCAAAGGTCGCTGGGTTGATGATCATAGGCTATTGTAGGTAGCTTGATGATTATAGGTAGCTAGTTTCTATATGTGTCTATTAGTTTTTGATGATTTAAAAGAAAAAATGACAGGTTTCAAAGATCAAAAACCATAGCACCAGTTGGGGTGACATGATGTGACATGGCACCCTCCCAACCGAGGTACCGAAGAAATCGGTTCCATTTTTGCTGCCATAGGCGATCCCCCAACCCAGGAGCCACCAGCCGATGGTTCCCACGCACACGTTCACCTAGCACGAGGCAGCACAAGGGGGATCAACATGGATCAAACTATGGAAAACTATGGAAGACCATGGAAAACTGTGGATCCAAGATCAATTTTGATTCAACCAAACAAAATACGGATGATGGAGAAATTGCGGATGATTATTGGTCCAAAAGCAAGACAGTCTTTTCAGCTTCTCATTTGTTTGCTATATATATATATACATACATATCTACAGTCTCTACATGCATATGTCATGTATACAGTGCATGTGTATATATATATATAGTTATATATATATATGTGTCTAATCCATTCTAATCCCATCTTGAAGTGCTTGTTTCATGGTTCCCATGGTGCGTCCCAACACACAAACACTCACCGCCAGGTCACCTGGTACCTGGGAAAAAAATCCGCTGGAAGACAGTGGGATGATCCTCTAAGGGACCCAAGATTGGCCAGTCCCAGCACTGTAGGTAGGTAGGGTTTGATCCATTTTGTACCCAACCTGTGGAGTATCCTTGGCCACTTAAATGGGTTGGAAACTGCCCATGTGGATCTGTCCCAATTCATGGGTTCCCTAGAATCCACCAGCTATTAATCGGCGTGAAAGACTGAAGATTCCATGGCGAAAATCGCCAAATCACTGTTAGGCTCAACAAATCGAACAAATCTTCAATCCCAATTTTGAGTCATTCATCCATATTCACCCTCTCAAATCCTCTGGTTATCATATACCCTCTGGTAATGACTAACATAGCTATGGAAAATCACCATTTTTAATGGGTAAATCCACTATAAATAGCCATTTTCAATAGCTATGTTAGTCATTACCAGAGGGTAAATCCTCTGGTTATCATATCACCATGTCTTCCTCTAAAATGAGCGGCCAAGTTCTTCATCAGCACGTTGGAGGCGTTCTTGGCGCGGCAGCTTCCAGTCTCCAACATGGCAAAGCCAGCGTGCCTAGCGTGCCAGCGTCGCCGGGGATGAAAACACCTTGGGACCATAGGGGGTGTTCCAGATTAGTATAGGGATATGGTATTAATACCAAAAACTATATTATAGTATAATAGTTGATTATTCATATGTATATGAAATAGTTGATATGTATATTATAGTGTTCCATTATGTATAGGAGAATTGAAGCAAAACTGGGGAGTTAGGAGCTTAACAGCTGTCAAACATGGGAGTTGACAATCAAAAATGCGGATGTAACCATCAAGAATGGAGACTTCATCATCAGTTTTGGGAATTTAATCATCGAGGATGGAGATTCAATCACCAAGAATTTAATTAGGGAAAATACTGCTTTAAACTTTAAACATTGAATTTCAAAGTGTGGCTAAACAATCAAAGATGCGGCTTCCACCGTCAAGAATACATGTTGTCTATCACACATGGTGGTTTAACGAACAATCAGAATGGTGGATTTAATCACCAAAAGTGGAACTAATAAACAATCTGCTTTTACCTTCAAAAATTGGGAGTTGACTTGACCATCATCAAAATGCATCCTGCTCAATTGTGGATGGTTCATTGCAGCAAACCCAATGCCATAGACGTGCCAGCATGGTTTGTCCCACCGATTTCTGGTAACTGGTAAGTCATTGGGCATTGTTTATTATGTCGCATCGGGTTTGCCATGTGAACTTTTTCAAAACATCCCCAGAAAGATGTATATCTGTTGGTTTCCATCGTTTTTACCTAAGAAAATGCATGTTTTGCAGGGCAGTTACTTCCACAGCACCTTTCCAGGTTTCATCCTGGTGCCAAGGGGCATGAACATCACCAGGCTACCACAAAGGCAAAGCCAAAAAGAGTCCAAGGCCTGACCACATCAAGTACATAAATCATCACGATTTTCGTAGGAAGTTACTGTTCAATCTATTTGGGGGTGGCTATAGTATGGTACAACAACACTCACATATGTATATAATATATATACTTATGATGAGCATACTCCAGATAAACGTATATTACGTACTTCTAATCCCGTCCCCTTCCCACCAAAAAACTCAGACATATTGGGACACCCCAGTGGTCCCTGCGGAGAAAATAGACGTTCTAAGCCTCTGCGCTTTCTCATATCTTAGCTTAGCAGTCTTGGACAATTATATTATATATTGCAAAAAATGTGCTTCATCAAGTCTTATCTGGATCAATAATGTCCGTTTGCTAAAAATAGAGGGGCCGGTTTGGTATACCATCTATCATCATTTACCTGTTGTTAAAGGGGTTTCTCCAAACCCCTCTATTAGTCAACCAACCAACAGGAAAAGGACATCTATGATCTGGAGAGTACCCTCTGGTAAACTAACATAACTATGGAAAATCACCATGTTCAATGGGAAAATCCACTATAAATGGCCATGTTCAATAGCTATGTTAGTCATTACCAGAGGGTATCTTCTGTCCTCTTCCATTGATGTCGCTAGAAATGGCTCGAAAAACTCACCCATAAAAACCGCCCATTGCGTGAAATCCCATCTGCCTTAAATTCCGTACGCACAAGAGAGCTCGAGCATCTGACGATCAACTAATTTTATCAGGGGGTGTCCCATTGAATCCTGCATTTCTAGGCATTTCTAGATGAATTTCCATGAATTTCCCATTAAACACACCATTTTTGAGGGTGGTTGTGATGGTGGTCCCAACTTTTTCATCCACAACTTCGATGGTCGGCATCCAAGCGGCTCCACCCAGGCTGGCAGTGTCCAGCTTGCCGAACTGGCACGATTCAATCGGAACTGCTGTTTGTAGCGGGGAACTGCAAACAATGCCATAAATCACCCATTTGGGACTGGTTTATACATGTTTATACTACCTATGAATATTGAAATTGGATGAAATTTTATTGTTGTTTTGCAAACAATCATGATAGCCATGGTGAACTAAACCATACCAAACCCCCATAAGTTGGGATATAACCCCGACAACTACAGCTATTATCCACTTGTATCCACTTTAAAAAAAAAAACTGCTAACTTTTAACCCTGGTGATCAGAAGTCCGCGATGTTTTTATCCCATGTGTATCTGGGCTAATTCGACTTATTGTAGAAACCAGCTAGGATTCGTGTGTTGACCCAACAGGAAACTAGGTGCCATGACTCTGGGTATCAAAAGTCTGGGTAGCAAATGGATTTAAAACGAACAAATGTGGTTCTTTCGGTCTGAACTTATTGACCCATCACCATTTGGCTGAATAGTAGGGTATCTTATCTTTATAAATCCAGTGGTTTGTTATGGCTTTTCTGGTGGAAAACCTGCATGGAGGGGTCTTCGAATTCATCGACCAATTTTCTTGAAGACCAATTTGGAGATTACCACAATTCCCCAGATGTCACTCAGGCATTAATATGCCGATATGCCGTGGGAGTGTGACGCTGTCACATGCTCCATCCATGGCTCATCATCAAGCTATGAACCAACCATTCATCCCTTGTTTGGGATGGTCAAGATTCCCCAATTCCCCATGAAATTCGTCCCGATCTCCCCTAATAAAACAGCATTTAAGCAATAACAGAATATATGAAACAGATTCCTTAGATATCACATCCAGTTGCCATAATCCACCGTTTCAGAACATATGTTCCTTGGGAAATCCTGAATGCTCACTTTCCATGTAGCCAGCTAGGTGGCCGGCCTCAACGTTGGCATCGGCCACTGTCACATAGGAGTTGAGCTGCAACCTAAGGTGCACAAACATCCTCCGCTGTCTGCCTGTCTGCTGGTCTTTCGGATTTTTATATGATCTACGGCACTACTTCTGGAGGTTGGTTATACTATGGTTTCTGTGAATCTATGGTATACTGGCTTGATGCCCCGTGCTCGGGTGTCAGGTCCTACCCCCCACGTGGGGAAGGTAGGCGTTCAGAAGAATCTATGGTATTAACTATGATTTTCCTGGTTTCCAGAATAATCATCTGAGGGGGGAGTAGATCTATGGTACTACCTGTCTACTCTTTTATCTTATCATTATTATATAGTGTACAGTAGTGTTATAGGTACGAATCATTTCAGGTTATACCATGCTGAATAACGTTTGAAGGGGAATAGATCTATGGGAATCAATCAGGAATAGTGGAACTATGCGGAAATTAACTTTATTTTTGGGAACAAGTTACAACCTGGCTACTTTTACCAACAACTTTAATCAGGAAAATAAACTTCCCCGTCTTATTAAAGTGAGGGTTTCAGCCCGCACAAACCACCTATTTTTGCAGTTTCGCAAATGATGTTCTAAATAATTGGATGATGTGTGGCTTCATCGAAGCCGCTGGACGCTGTCAATCCCTGAATACTCAGAAATCTGGGAGATCATTCAAACAGTGCTGTCACATCAAGCAACTAAGATTGAAGTAGGCGATGGGCCAGGACTTTTTCTTTATAGCAAATAAGCCCTTGTTTGATACTGCAACTGAATTTCTTTTGGGAACTGATGTAACCCACTGATGTTTCCAGCGTTGATGCAGCTATTAGATCAATCTCAATGGATTGTGTTATATGATATACGATATACATGGAAATACTATTTGTGGAAAATACCATGGAAAATACTAATTTATATCAATTCTATCAATAAACGGTGAACTAAGCGCATCAAAGATCGCTCCGATTTCAGGATGGTTTAACCACGGCACCGTCGTGCTTCGGCGGTTTCGGCTTCAACCAAGCGATCCTCTTGCACCTGGAATCTCAGCCGGCAATCATTCGGGGTTGAAGGGATCAGAGCAAAACAAATGGAAACCAGGGGTGTCCCAGGGTCTCAAGAACTGACTCCAACATCTATCTATCTATCTAACTATCTATCTATCTATCTATCCATCCATCCATCCATCCATCCATCGATCCATCGATCCATCGATCCATCCATCGATCCATCGATCCATCGATCCATCCATCCATCTATCCATCTATCCATCTATCCATCTATCTATCTAACTATCTATCTATCTATCAACCAATCAATCAATCAATCAATCAATCAATCATCTATCTTTCTATCTATCTATCTATCCATCCATCTATATATATATACATATGCATGTGTATATATATATATGTGGATTTCCTCCAGGTTAGAGTTCATCAATTCCTTGGATATTTTGGCAGCCATCACAGTTTTCAGCATCTCCAGAAATCCTGATCGGTGATGTCGGTGATGTGACCTGGATGAGTCCTCCATTTCCAGCTCAAAATGCTCAAAATCCACCCGTTTGAAGCCTGAAAAATGGATCGTTTGCGCTTGACAATTCCTCGGTGTCCCATCGAATCTGCTGATTCCCCATCCTCGGTGATCCCAGTTCTGCCCATCGGAGGCCTTGATCAATTCGCGCTGCTCAATGATCTGGTTTCGTAGTGATTGGATATGGGCCTGCCAGAAATCTTTCAGCGATTCTACCGGGATAGCGCTGAATGGGATTCTTTTCGGGGGCTAGATGTTGGTATATGTGGTATAGATACATGTATACATATAATATATATATATAATTATATATTATATTATATTATATTATATATATATTATATATATATATATAATTATATGTATATATTATATTTGATATAAATAATTCATATATACACGAACTTACAAGGACCATGGATGGTTTGATGATCTACATGGAGATATTCCCCACAGTTGTGTGTTTTATCGAAAAAATGTCTACCTCTAAAAAAACGCTCTGCCCAGGACTGGGTTGCTTAAAAGGTCGCGAGGTCGCCGGAGATTTTTTCCAACCCAGTTCAGCGGCGCTGGCCTTTAACTCGGTGACACCTTGCCCATTGGCAACTCCCACCTCAGAGCTAAGTCGTGGTGTTTCCATCGTTGTCCGTACGGGGCTGTAGGATCTGTAGGTACATTTGCAGAGTGGGGAACTGCCAAAAAAATCCAACAAGGACCATCCGTGCACAAAACGAATCAAAAAGAGAGATTTACGATCTGTCACTCCAAAATGCAATAACTGTGACCCACTGATAATTTCAGACCCCAAGAATGACCCAACCAGTGACCCACTGAGCTTTCCCGGCCGAGAACAAAGCGACAAGGCTAAGACCTGGGCAGAACGAGATAATCCAGAGATGTTGGGGAAAAGTGCGTAGAAAGTTCTTGTTAAATCTCTTCACTATGGGAACTTTGTTTTAGTATGTTTTAGTAAAGATGGGACAAAGTTGGGTAATTTCTTCAGATTGGGGCCATGTCAACAACATGATTTGCACAAAAAAAAGTTCAACTTAATAAAGTTGCCCAATAAACACATCTCTGAAATTGAAAAATGGGGCTTTTAACAAAATGTGCTTTGTCCAAAGTATGGGCTGGCAAATTGTTTTGCCAGTCAAAAGTTGGAATTTTGGGGTATCCATGGGTATCCCACATGTCCCAAGTCAGAATCACAGATCTTCATAGATTTTCACCCTGGACTTTCACTGGAAACAAACTTGATATAGTTCCTTTTACTATTGGTCACTTGGGGCTGCAGCTTGAGTTTCAAGAAATTCAGAAGAACTCTGGATCTTGAACCCTATGGAGCCATTGAGGCTGATGAGCCAAGGAGCTCCACATTGCAGTGCAAACTTCGCACGCAAAAGGCAGGAAGTGAAATGAGCCGAAGATTCGCGTGCTACGGGCGGGCGATAAAAATTGGTGCAAAACACCGCGAAAATTGATTGTTGAAGGCAGATTAAGAAACCATATGTTGGGGCACGTGACTTTGAGAAGTCAGATACTACTATTCTGAAACCCTGTGAAATTCTTGGAAGATAAGTGTCAAATTAAATGGCCATCATGAGGTAAACCATTTGAATAAGTCTAACACTTGGAGGTCCCAAAAAAAACGCGTGGTCACTTTGGTGTCAAGATTGAGGAAAGGAATGTTCCCGAATCTGGCGTGGGACATGTCAGATTGTTCCAGTGTTTGGCTTGCCCAAGTTCTTTCTCAAAGAACTAAATGACCCAGGCAGCAAACTGAAGATGAAACACTGCCACAGTACTACTGAATGGGATAATGTTCACCAAAGGCCATCCCCAACTGAAACCAGTGAAACCAATTGGTCTATCTCCACAACCAACTCAGAAAAGCCATCCTTTGTGGGCTGCATACTCAGCATACTCATTTCTCTGGGTCAATACCACATGTTTGGTGCTTATTGAACCCTATACATATTATCTAAATGTATACATATATGTACATACATGTATATTACAAATAGAATATACGTATGTATATACTATGATAATCTATGATATATACATACATAGAGAGAGAGAGAGACGTCCCGTTTCCGGTGGTTAAACTTAAACGATCTTAAACAGTCTTCAAAGCCATGTTTTATGAAAACCCAATGAACCACCAAAAATCCCGTCTGCTCAGCCCAAACGGCCTCCTTCAACACAAAGTAGGTCTCGAACATGTTCCTCGCTACGCTAGCCAATGTTCGCAGTTTTTTACAATTGGTTTTGGTAAATCCCCATAAACTGACAAAGGATTAAGTAGAAGGTTTACCGCCGATTTATCAGGATTTGTTTTGGAGATGAACTTCAGATGAACTGTATTGTTCCCATGAAATTCAGGCAAAATGGCCAGCTTAGACTTGTAAACGACATTTAAGTGGCATTGACAGCTGCATGGAGCAATTGAGCATTGACTCCTCGAATGGAAATCTTTAGCCTCATGGTCCTTGCCATCAAATACAGGGTGTCCCAAAAAAAGTGGTTTCAATCAATTCCCAGATGCACAGACCAACCAAAGCAAACACATGTTCTTACCAAACAGATTACCATTCCACTCAACTCGCAGTGTACCCTCAGTTCTGGGTAGTCGTGAACCTCATGAGGAAGACATGACTGGGGTGTGACACACACTGACTCATATGCTGTCATTTTTCTTCAATATATATACTTTACTATGGATATCGTATCAGTACTTGTAGCAATTGTTTCATCAAGATACGCATCTCAATTTTTCTTGAGACAATACACCATATGCGCTCGTATCACATCTCATTATGTAAACTAGTTGGATGATAGGTTTCCCAAAAATATTGGTTAGTTCATAATCCCCAGCTTAACCAGGTAGGACCCACTTTAGACGTGTTTTTATCTTGACCTGTTAGGCCACATGACGCTACACAACCCGTATTGGGCATCCTATATATAGGTAATACAAATACAAAATACATATATATATATATACAAACATATATACACAATTATATATATATGCACATAGTAACTTCAACCGTCTAATCCTATATTCGATGTATTTGTATGTATATATCTGTATGTATGTATTCGTATGATTTCACAAAAAAATGCTTTACTTCGTGTGATCCCCACCATGACATTTATACATTTTGTTACTGGCAAATCTTCTGGCATTCTACCTGGCATATCTTCTGGCATTCTACCTGGCATATCTTCTGGCATATCTTCTGGCATATGTTCTGGCATATGTTCTGGCATATCTTCTGGCATATCTTCTGACATTCTATCTGGCATTCTATCTGGTAAATCTTCTGGCGTTCTATCTGGCAAACATTCTGGCACTTTATCTGGCATACCTTCTGGCATTCTATCTGACATTCTATCTGGCATATCTTCTGGCATTCTATCTGGCATACAGTATCTTCTGGCATTCTATCTGGCATATCTTCTGGCATTTTATCTGGCATATCTTCTGGCATTCTATCTGACATGCTATCTGGCGTTCTATCTGGCATTCTATCTGGTCGTTGAGGTCCAGCGGTGCTCACTGAGCTCGGAGGGTTCCAGGTTGAGGTCCAGCGGTGCTCACTGCGCGTGGAGGGTCCCAGGTTGAGGCCCAGCAGTGCCCACTGCGCTCAGACCCTTGCAGTTGAGGTCCAGCAGTGGCCACTGCGTGCGGAAGTTGGCGAAGAGCTTGGTGAAGAGTTGGCAAGGCGGAAGTGGACATGGAAGTGAAGGCAGAGGTGGTGGAGGAGAACGAGGAGAAGGAGAAAAAGGAGGAGGAGAAGGAGAAGAACAACTCTGATAAAATCTAACAACCCTCACCTGGCAGGTGGGGAAAAACCATGTTCCAAACCACCAACCAGATATTATATTATTTACATATATATATATATACTTAGTCCATGTTCAACCCTGGGATCAAAATTCCGGTCATTTTCTCAGGTCTTCCGAATTAGTCAATGCGTACTGGCCACCTGCTTCCCTCATTAATGCCAAAAAAATCTGCGTGGATCGTACGCAAAAAGACGCTGCGAATTTGAGATATGGGCCCCTGCCAACAAGATCAGGACATTTCTGAAACATCGTGGTAAATCACGTTGTCTTGTTCACGACTGGGAACTTATTAGGGAAATTACGGGTCATCCATCCCAACACCTTCTTGCCAGCAAAATGAACAGCCCTTTACGAAGTCTGAGGTGTTTTGGGGTTTGATCCGACAATATTTCAGAATTTTGGACATATAAATATGAATAAATATGAATACATACATCGCACCCCCCAAAAAGATGCCGGACAGTGCTTCCAGAATAGTAGTTCGATGATATGTTCTTCATATTTCCAGGTTGTCCACTTTTCTATCTGTTTGGGTGTTACTTTGTCCATGCTTTCAAAAAATAGATGCACATGTGTTCTCGAATACAATTGAAAATGGTTTTCGCAAAGCAGGCAACTGCAGCAGCACCAACCTTTCGCTATGCCACTACTTGCTCTCCACAAGTTTCAAGCAAAGAAACAATTATAATTAATGATAGAAATGTTAGATAAATGTTAGATATATAGAGATCTACTAATATAGTAGATAATTATAGATAATTTCATATAATTTCTATATTATATTTATAGATCTATCCCCATACAGATCTACGTCTTAGCCGTATCTGCCAAGCATCGCCAGGTTCATGATGGATGCGGGCATGGGCCTTGGGGCAGATCGGTCCTGCCAAGAATATGGCTGTGCTTTTGGATAGGTTTAGATAGATATAGAAATATAGAAATAGATGATACAGATATATCGAAATATAATACTATAGATTTAGAATTATATAATATATATGTGAACAAATCGATCCTTGTTCTGGATGTTATATCTCAAGTGGTATCTGCCTTACTGGTAGTTTCCGGACCCAGTGAACATGGCAGGCAGCGATTGCTCTCTTTTACACACGCAGGGGGTCTTGAGCCAGAATGGCGTCCCATGCATGAGTTGTTTGTATGCTCTCACTACGTTCCCTTTGACACCCCCCATGCCCGTGGTATTCTTCGAACCACGGACACGAGAGAGGGAACTTTGAATTAGTTTGGTTTCTGCTACTTGAATTACGCCTTTGTACATAAAACGTGCCATTCGGCTCCCCCTTCCCCACATACCCGTCGGGAATAATGGTTCAGGGTTCGCCTACTCTCTGGCTGTCGATGCTTCGGCGCGTCCTCAAGCTGTACAACGCGAATTATTGCTAGCTAACATCTACTTTTCTACGTTGGCTAGGCATACCACTCACCCGTCGGGAGAAATGGATCGCTTCGCTACTAAAGATTTACAATGCTAACTAACGAATTCACGTGCACAGTGCAGAATTCGTGCAGATTGGGAATATCAAAAATCTTGAACCTAAGCGAATTAGTCTACTGCCTCGCTCAGAGTCCACTCAGTTGATCCTTTCCTGATCATCTGTTCACAAAGACGATACACATCTCATATTCCAGTGATCATTTTACGGATCGAAGTAATTGGTTTACTGCTCACGGCGGACTTTCTTCCATTGAGGTGCTGTTGGAGTTCTCTCCCATCCTGCCGCACGTTTCGGAGCAGCTTTCGGCGATGAAGGCTTTGCAGGCGGTGCCTTTGATGGTTCATGGGATTTCGGCATAGCCTTGCCCTTTGGTGCACTAGCCGATGAGGATGATGCTGAACCAGTGCCTTCAGGTGTCTGTGAAGGTTGCGCAGTTGGTTTAGCAAACTTGGAAGCTGCAGTATGTCCAACCGCTTTGAATACTTCACTCACCACTTCGTCGCCAAGGGTTGGAGCCATCTTCGCTTTCATTTCGGTCTTTCCCCTCTGCGCCTCGGCCTCGGCCAGCTGAATAGCATAAGCCATCTTGCTGACAAAGTTTTGAGGTAAAGGAATGCCACATTGTTGGGCTGCAAAGAGCAGTTCTACTCTCTGTTCTTTCTCCCTCAGGCTCAGATATACCGAGAAGCTGGGAGTTCGATGCAGTTGGGGAAGCCGTGGCTCCCGGAGCGAAAGAAGGTGTATGACTCGTGCTCCGGAAAGGTTCCTTTGAGCAGTCGTCGAAGGAAATTGCTGATGGTTACTCGCATCTCCTGTTTTCCTTGGGCATCAGCCTGCATTCGGTTCATTGGCATGAGAAAGCCTAATGACTCAGGAGTGTACCCAGCGCATACCAGAAATTCCATCATCTTCTCATAGATTTCCAAAGTCTTGATGACAGGCATCATCATGTTTCTTGGTCGCCCTGAGTATAACTTCTCTCCTTCTGACCATGAATTCCTCTTCCCTTTCTGCTGAAAGAGTTCATCCAATTCCAGCTCCGTCGGTCGCTTGAGGTTGCCATCCTGGTCTTCTCCTGTATAAGGACAGAAGTCGTCCAGGTCCAGCCGGACTCGCT